ACTTTTACTAGTATATAAATCTTTGTATGGTTTGCCCCAAATTATCTATGTGAATTAATCGAATTTTATGTACCGAGTCGTAGTTTAAGATCTGAATCGAAGTTTCTTATTAAAACTCGTCAGGTGTGTAGTAAAAAGTCCAAGGTGTTATACAAAGACCGTGCTTTTGAAAATTTAGGTCCTAAACTTTTTAATGAATTACCTCTGTCTGTTCGTTCTAGTCCTTCAGTAGACATTTTTAAATCCAGACTGAAAACGCACTTATTTAAATGTGCCTTTAATATTTGACTGATTGTTTATTGTATCAGCGCCTTTGATCTTCATATGTTGGAATTGTTGCGCTTAATTAAATAAAGTTACTATATTATTATATTATGTTTAAGAAATGTTCGTACCTCTTTAAAAACAATCTTCCGCAATTCATAATTCATATTCCGTGGAATGTCACCAAAAAGCAAATTAAATAGATTTAGATAGTGAATGAATGATGAGAAAGAAGTTAGGTAAATTAGGATGAGTAATGCTTTTTCTAATAATAAACATTGGAATTGAGATGCTTTTGTTGTTTGGGTATAATTGTGTGGTAATAATAATTTAATAATAATTTATTTACTTATATTGCGCTATTTACAGTAATAACTGATCAACAGCGCATGACATTACACTATAAACTATACCAAAGAAAGAACAAATAAGTTTTCAAATGTACCTTAAAATCAATAATATTGTTCCATTTTTTTTACATTGTTTGGTAGAGTGTTCCACAAACGTGGTTCACATACAGCAAATGCCCTATCACCACATGTTACTAAATGTGAAAATGGTACAGTAAGTAAGTTTGAAGATGACCTGAGTGTGTACAAAAGTGTCACATGTGAATGAAACATTTCATTAATATATTTAGGGGACTGGTCGTTGAGGGCTTTGTATACTAACAACATTAATTTATATATAATACGATCCTTTACTGGAAGCCAGTGTAGAGAAATCAAAGCAGGTGTAATACGGTCATATTTTCTTTTCTTCAAAACAATCCTAGCTGCTGCATTCTGTACCCTCTGCAATTTAGATAATTGCACATTCGTTATACCATATAATAAACTATTGCAGTAATCAAGCCTTGATCCCACCAGAGCATGAACAATAAATAATCTCGGTAGTTTTTGTTGAAAGATATTTTCTGATCTGGGAAATCCTATACAGATGATAAAATGATGATGTTGTTACCTGACTAGAATGACTTGCCATATTTCAAATGTTTATCAAACATCACACCCAGATTACGTACATCATTCCTGACGAACATTAAAGTATTATCAACTTTGAGGGAAAGCAAATTTAATTTCTTAATTTGCTGAGGCATACCAAAAACTAAAAAATCTGTTTTCTCAGGATTTAGTTTTAGCTTATTGCAGTACATTCAATCTTTCAGTTCACTGGCACAATTCTTAAGATTAGTCATAGCTATGTCACGATCATATACTGAGTTCGGTTGAAATGATATGTATAACTGAGTATCATCGATATAGAGGTGATATAATAGTCCATGATGTTCTATAATACTACCAAGTGGGAACGTATACATGCTAAACAAAAGCGGCCCGAGCACCGATCCCTGAGGAACACCATATTTTAACATATTCATTGGGGATGTTAGAGCCTAAACAATCAATAGCCATGGCAAATAGTCGGTATCTCATCATACAGAGCATTGTCATCTTTGTTTTGAGGAAGACATTACAAAGACAGCATAGCTATTAAGAGCATTAGGATGCTTGTTATATTAATGTCTTAGCTTTCTTGGTTCAGATTCAATGCAGCATGGGTAATTTTGTGTTCAAGTTTAGATAGTGTGATTGTAATGCAACATAGATAATGTGTTCATATTCAGATAGTTTGATAGCAATGCAACATAGATAATGTGTTCACATTCAGATAGTTTGATTGCAATGCAACATGGGTAATGTGTTCACATTCAGATAGTTTGATTGCAATGCAACATAGAGAATGTGTTCACATTCAGATAGTTTGATTGCAATGCAACATGGGTAATGTGTTCACATTCAGATAGTTTGATTGCAATGCAACATAGATAATGTGTTCACATTCAGATAGTTTGATTGCAATGCAACATGGGTAATGTGTTCAAGTTCAGATAGTTTGATTGCAATGCAACATAGATGTGTTCACATTCAGATAGTTTGATTGCAATGTGTTCACATTCAGATAGTTTGATTGCAATGCAACATGGATAATGTGTTCACATTCAGATAGTTTGTTTGCAATGCAACATAGATAATGTGTTCACATTCAGATAGTTTGATTGCAATGCAACATGGGTAATGTGTTCAAGTTCAGATAGTTTGCAATGCAGCATGGGTAATGAATTATTATTAACTCCCATTTAACTTTTTTAGGTAAACTTGTTTATTTTTCAGGTGGACTTGTTGTGAATGACCCTGCCTATAGCAGAAGACTAAGTTTAAAAAGTGTAATCTCATCTTATATGCCAAAGTCAATGATAACAGGAGATATGCTTAGAATAACTAAGTATGATGGAACAAAGTGGTCTCAGTTGGAGTCTAATGTATATGATAAGGTATGTCCTTTAATGAATAGTGTAAATGGGTGGTGGTTCACCCATACATAGTAATTTATCAAAATCATACAATCCTGTCATCACTGAACAGCATCTCAGTCATGCATGGACATATTCCATATTCTTGATATGCCAATTGAACCCTAACTGTCCTTGATTTTTTTATTGTTATTTCCTCAAGTGAATTGAAACTCATGGATATTTTATTGTGTAGATAAATATGTAATGATTTTTAAAATTAATTAGCTTACTAGTTAGCTGTATTAACTGTGTCTTAGCAATAGTTTACTTTAATAACAGGAACCACACCAACCTCAATTGACACTTGGTTACTTCTGAAATAGCAGAAATTATTATTTCCTATTTTTGCCAATGGGAACAGTCTTTGTTTTTGTAACACATGTTGATGCAATGACTGATTAGAAAGACCTGGTGCTGTATTGTGCTGAATGGTTTTTATATTACAATAATTGATTTCTTTGACTGTTTTTTACAAAATCAAGATAAAATATGTGGTCACTGATATACTTTTCACACAAAACTTGAAAATACTGAAATCCTATTGTGTAACTTTTGCCACAAATGCCTCAAGTATATTATCCTGAGCTGATACCCAGACCTCAATGATTTTGATCACATCTCAATTGTGTTTGGTTTAAATTCTGGAAATTATTCTGCTCGTCTCCTTACTTTAGAATGGCAATGTAGTTGTCTTTACTATTATTTACAGGTATTGGTGGATGTGCCATGTACAACAGATAGACATGTACTTCATAATAATGACAATAATATATTTAGCAGATCTAGGAACAAAGAAAGACAATCATTGCCATCATTACAATCTGAGCTATTAAGGTCAGTTTCAGTGTTTCTGAATTTTTG